CCCTTCCCTGGCCCCGATGGCATCCCTTGGAATGAGGAGGAGGAGGACAGGATGTGGGCACCGCACAACTACCCCCTGCCCCCCTGGGATGGCAGAGGGGACATGCGAGGACCCGAGGAGGATTTCACCCAGGACTGGTTCCCAGTGAGGTTGTGGGTTGGGGGGTGGTAGCAGCTGCAGAACCGAGGCTGGGGAGTGGGTAAAACGGGGCAGGGGCCACTCACTGCCCTGGTGACAAGGACAGGGCGTGGGGATGGGTTTCCCAGCTCAGCCTCCGCTCTGCTGTCACAGGATTCCCTGTCCCATTCCCTGTCTAAACCCACCCCCTTTCCCACAGGAGCTGCAGCCTGGCCCCTGTCCTGAACCCCTCTTGGAGGAGGAGCAGCCCCCACCCTGGCACCCTGCTGGCCCACCAGGGTGGGTGCTGTGCCCGGGGTGGGGGTTTGGGGGATCCGTGTGGCTGTGGGGTGGCACGAAGGGGTGCCGGGGGTGGGCACTGCGTGGAGGCACAGCCACGGGGTGACACTGTGGGGGCACAGCCACGGGGTGACACTCCCGGCCCTGCTCAGCGTAGAGGGGGGGTTTGCACTGGAGACCCCTTCCTAAAGAGCCCCCCGGCCCCGGGGCTGCCTTTGCTGCTGCAGGAGACGAGGGGGGGGCCGTGGTGGGGGCCCCCCCTGGGACTGTGGCCCCCCCTGGAACTGTGACCCCCCCTGGGACTGTGACCCCCCCCGGGGGAGACGCGGCCGACGCCTTCGCAGGAGCCGCCGGGAGCTGACCCTGGTCCCGTGTGGGTGGGGTCCCAGACCCCCCAGAGGTTTGTGCTGTGCCCCCGTTCCTGCTTCCCTGGTGCTCTCCAGCATCTCCCCGGGCAGAGCCAGGAGCCGCTGCCGTTGTTTCCCGCTCCACAGGGCACAAACCACCCTCCAGGGCCTCCCCTTCCTGCCCCAAGCCGAGCCAGCCGGCGACCAGGAAAGAGCTGCAGCCCCCTGATCCTCCCCAGCCACCCGTGTCCCCCCAGGGGCCTGTGGAGAGGCCGGAACAGACCCAGGTTGTGGGGTTTTACCTGCTCCCCCCATCCCAGCTCCCAGCAGTGACCCGAGGGTGCTCGGTCTGAGCTCTGTGTGGTGTCGTGGTTTCCCCCAGGACCTGCCAGAGGGGAGTGGGGAGGTCCCCAAGACCCCTGAGCCATCCAGGACCCCTCCCAGGAGCCCGGACACCGATCCCTGCGCTGCGGGGCCGGAGCAGGAGTCTCCAGGGACACCGGTAGGAGATTCCCCTGCTCCCGGGACTGGCAGGGGGGTTGTACCCCCAGGGCTCTTCGGCCACTCTAACGTCTCCCTCCTCTCTCTCATCCAGCCCTTTCACTCTCCACCTCGCTGTCTCCTTGCCAGGCATGGGAGTTTTTTCAGACTCTTCTCTGGGGCTGCAAAGCCCCGTGGTTTTCTTTGGGGTTCAACACCCCATGGGTCCTGTCCCACAGCTCCTCTCCCGGGACAGACGTGTCCCAGCCTCACGCCATTGCCTGTCCCCAGGTTGAGCCAGGAGCTGAGCAGACACCTCTGGGCAGCCAGGAGCAGGATCCCTGTGCTTTGGGAGCGGAGCCAGTCCCGCTGGAGGAGAACTCTGCCGTGGCAGGGGAGCAGCTCGAGGTATGGGATTCCCAGGGAGCGGCACAGAGTCAGCCCAGGGCTCCCCAGATCCTCCCCACCAGCAGCACGCTGCTCCCCCTAGGGATAGTTTTTATTCCCACCCAAAACCAGTGCCTGGGAGGAGGCACATTCCCCTTTCCAGACCCTTTTTTGGCCCTCGCCGTGGGCTCTGCAGCGCACCTGTAACTCCTTGCACAGGTAGAGCCGGGCAGTCCAGCTGCCCCCGAGGCTGGCACAGGTGATGGGTCACATCCCCACAGCCCAGCAGCCCCTCTGGATCCTGCTGGGAGGGAACACCCGGCACCCAGCTGCTCTGCAGAGGTGGGTGCTGAGCTGAGCCCACGTTCCCGGGGCGAGCAGTGTTTGCCAAGTGGAGCTGGAGAAGCCGAGGCAGAAGCTGCCCACGATGGGGGGGGTCTCAGCTCTGTGGCATGTCCCCCTCCCCAGGTGAGAGCCCCTCCAGGCCTCTGCTGCAGGTGGGGCTGTGCTGGCAGCACTGGCTGCCCCCTCCTGCACAGCCCCTGCCTTCCTCCCCCAGCCCCTCTCTCTCCTGCAGCTTCTCGAGAGCCTTCAGCCACCTGAAAACTCTCAGGTCCCTCCAGAACCTGCAGCAGAAGCTGATGCACAGCCCAGCCAGGCTTGTCCTGATCCCTGCACCTCACCAAAGACCTCACCGGGGCCCCAGCACCCTCCTGGCTCCAGTGAGACAAACCCGGTACGGGGTCTGGGTGCCCCCCTGGGTCCCCACATGGGGCTGGTCCCCTGGGCCTGGGGGCACTGCCACAGCAGGAGCAGTGGAGTGGGATCCCTCTGGAACCCCAGCAGGATTCCGGGCTGGGGTTAAAGAGCTGCTTTGTCTGGAGGCAGAGCCCGTATCGGCCCCTGATGCCAATAAATGGGAGAGGGCTGGAGAGAGGCCAACAAAATAACTGGAGGCTTGGGAGTGTGTGGAGCGTGAACAACCCCGGGGCTGGAGCTTTAACAAAGCCAAGGAGAGCACTCCAGAGCAGCTTAATTACTGCCTAATGGGGGACAGAAATCTGCTGGAAGCTCTCCCTGCTGGGGCTGGGGCAGAGGGGGAGCAGCTCTGGCACCCAAGGGAAGGGGGGAAACCCTGGGGAGCCAAAGTCCCAGCAGGTCCCTCAGAGGGTGACCAGTCCGTGGCTAATCAGTACTGGCAGCCCCAGTTTGGCCCAGTCCCTCTCCCTGCCAAAGTGTCCGATCTTTCCTTGCCTTTCCCGCCCCCCAGGCTGGGGATGGAGAGCAGCAGCTCTGCTTCAGGCTCCCGACGCCCTCCCCATCCCGCCGGGATCTCCGCTCCGCCGCCGTCCTCGCCAGGAAGGAGGCCATCGAGCTGGTGAGTCCTGGAGGCCCCTGGCTGAGGGGTGCAGGGGTCTGGGACCTGCTGCAGGGTTGGGGGGGACTCAGCCCAGGACCTTCTGGAGCGATGCTGGGTGACGGGATGTGCTCTTGGCATTTTGGGGGGCAGTGGGAAAACCCCTCCTGGTGATGGCGATTGCAGGGGAAGCTGCTCAGAAGGGGTTTGCAGGGGCTCAGGTGCTGCCAGGAGGGTCGTGGACCAAAAAATGGGCGGGGGGGGGAGGAATACCCCTCAGGGGGGCCGTGTGCTGCTGGTTTTGGGGTGCTGACCCCGCGGCCCTGCAGTCGTACCAGCAGTTCAGCCTCAACATCGCGGTGGTGGCCACGATGCTGCTGCAGAAGGAGCCCTCCATGGAGGAAACCCTGGGGCTGGCACTCAGGGCCAACCTGCGCCAGGGCCGGATCCACCACCTCCGGGAGCTGGAGGATTTCATCAACAGCTACGACTCGGCCACCCCCAGCCCCTGAGGAGACACCCCCTCCTCCAGCCGGGCTGGGAGGGATGTGGGGGCTGTGCCAGGGCACTGCTGTGCTCAGGTGGTGCTGAGCCTGTGGGTCAGGGCGGCATGGACATGTTGGCAGTCCCACCAAATCTCCTGGAGAGGGAGGAAGGTGGGGGTGTGCTTAGTTTTAGCCCTGCCCAAACCTCTGTGTGCAGCCAAAGGAGGAGCTGGTGTTACTGGCTGGTGGTGGGAGGGAGGGAGAGCAGCAGCCCCTCTCCTCCATCCAGGCTCCTCTCTCCGTTCCTTGTTCCCCGGGATGTGCCCACAAACCTTGGGAGTTGTTTTTGGTTTTAAATCTAAAAATAAACCCTGTTCTTGTTGCAGCCCTCTCTCCGCCCGTCCTTCTGATCCCGCTCTCCTGGGGTAGGTGAGGGAGGGTTCCTACAGTGAACCCAGCGTGGGGGATGTGGCAGAGGTCACCCCTGGGATCACACTGCCCTGGTGGCACGCTCGGTGTCACGGTGGGTGACCCTCCTGCGTTCAGATTTCAGCCAAACTTTATTGGAGCTTCGTCACTGGCAGCAGCAGAGCTGCCCCCCCCAGTCCCTCCCCGCGGTGCCACCAGGACACGGTGGCACCAGAGATGGAGAGCACGTGGCAGTGGTGCTCATCCTGCCAGGAGGAGTCCCAGGGAAGGATCCAAAGGATCCAACCCTGGCCCAGAGGTCTGGTGCAGGCAGCTGCCCTTGTCTGGAGCACCGGCCGCTCTCCCCGGAGCTGCTGCCGTGTCTGAGGCGCTGGAGCCCAGGTGAGCTCTGCTCCCTTCCTGCTTTACCTGTTCCTAATTGCGGGAGAGGCCGGCAGGAATTGCAGGCTGTGCTTTGCCAGCAGCTGCCGGGGGGGAAGGATCCCAGCAGCTTCTCCCACCAGCCTTGGGCCACGTCCAAAACGCACTTGGAACATGTTGAGACCGTGGTGGCAGCACCCAGCAGGGGCTGGCAGGACGTCAGGGACCCCGTGTCCCCACTGCTAGGACACACTGCAGTGTTTGCTGCTGCCCCGGGGCTTGGCCGTCCTGCCCCCGGCCTTCCCCGGGGGCTCCCTGCCCAGGGAATTCATCCCGGGCTTGGGGATGGGCTTCCCAAAAAAGAAACCCTCTTCCTCCGAGTCCGAGTCCGAAGATGAGGAGCAGGTGGGACACCAGGAGTCCTCCTCCTCCGTGATGTCCTGCAGGTCGATGTGCTCCGGCCGGGGGCTGTGTCGGGGGGGGGTTGTGCCCGCTCGGGAGGGGGGGTTTCCATGGCCCACGGGTGTTCGGGGGTCAGGGCCCCCCAAAACAGGGTGGCCCAAGGCTCCGGGCTCGTTGGGCCCCTCTGGGCTGGGCTGGGGGACAGAGGGGTGGGTGGCTGGTGGTCCCAGCATCCCTGTGTGCACGGCATCGCTGCTCCGCTCCTTGGCGGCTGCTCCGTGGTCCTCCGGGCTCCTGAACGCGGGATGCACAGGGGCCTGATCCAAAAACGCCTCTGGAAGAAGGAAAGCGAGGGTAAACGAGGAAGGAGAAGGCTGAGCCTGCCCTCCCACAGCCCCTCGTGCACCGAGGGCTGCCCTGGGACATCACGGGGGGGTGGTAGCAGCCCACCCCCGGCTCCCACCGCTTGCCCTCCCACGGGAGGTGGGCTGGGGGCTCATCACCACTGCTCCAGCCCTCAACTGGGCTGCCCCCGTGTGACAGTCCCCAGGAAGCACCCAGGGGCTGAGCAGAGCCTGGAATTGCCTCTATTCCCCCCCCGTAGGATCCTACCAGCCCCTTCCATGCGCTGCCTGCAGCCCCCCGGGGCCGAGGGGCCGGCTCGGGACAGGGGCGTCGAGTCCGGGGACGGAGCCGAGGCGAAGGCCGAGTCGGAGGAGTCGGAGGCACTGGAGGAGGACGAGCCCTGGCGCAGGCTGCAGGCGTCGGAGCAGAAGAGGCGGCCGCGGCGGCAGGTGAGGGGTTGTCCCCACAGCGGCTTTTGGCACAGGCTGCAGCAGAAGCAGGCGGCCCGGGCGTGCCAGTGCAGCCCTTGGTGGGTGGCCCCCTCGCTGTCGACACCTGGGGGGGGGACAACCGCAGGTGAGGGGGAGGCTCTTCCCGCACCCGTGTGCCAAAACCCAGGTGCCAAAACCCATCCTCTGCAGCCCTCCCGGCCCACCCCCTGCCCGCCCAGCAGGGACGGGCAGCCCCCCCGGGCTGGGGGGTCGGGCCGTACCGATGGGGTCCCCGCAGGCCTGGCAGGGCTCGGCGAAGAGGCTCTCGAAGCAGGCGCGGCAGCAGGGCCGCCCGCTCCTCATCACGTAGCGCTGCCCGCGCAGGGGAACGTCGCACTCCAGGCAGCAGAAGTGCTCCAGGTGCCAGCGCCGGCCCTCGGCCTCGATGCACTCCTCCATGAAGATCAGCTGGAGCGGGAAAAACAACCCATCCTCTCAGCACCCCAGAGGGAGAACCCGTGGTCCGGAGGATGCTTTGCCGCGCTGAGGGGTGAGGAAGAGCCCCCATCCCACGGCTCGGGCATGGGGATCTCAGCAAGGCTCAGGAAGGAACGTTTCCTCCCGCCCATCAGCGGTTCTTGCTGGATTTGCAGCCCCCAGCCAAGAGCAGGGGCTTTGAGTGGCCAAAGGGAGGTCAAAGGCGCCCTCTGCCCAGCACCCACCTGGTCACAGGAAGCACAGCGGGGTCTGAAGAGCTCAGCGTGGTGCCGGCCACAGTAGATCCTCCCATCCTGCTGGAAGTAGATGAGATCCACCAGCGGCTGGTGGCAGAAGTGGCAGGAGAAGCAGGACGGGTGCCAGAACTGGTCCCCCAGCCGAGACACTGAAATCCCTGGGTCGCCTTTGTTCAGCCTCCTGCCGCACTGCAAGGCAAAGGGACGCGGGGTTTGGGGCCAGGTTGGCTTTTGGGGGCAGATCCCCGCCAGGGAACGGCTGCTGGGGGGGGGGGACACCTCACCTTCCTGCAGGGGCAGCCATGGCAGGGACCGGGCACGGGCCGTGCCAGCCCCTGGCCCAGGGCCTCCCGTCTCCGCCGGGCGCTGAACGCTCGCAGCTGCCACCGCTCCTCCTCAGCGAGCTCGGGGCAGTACCGCTCCTGCACGGGGGGCACGGGGGTGAGCGGGGCATGGGGGGGGGAAGCCCGGGGTGGGCAGCACCCGAAAACAGGGGTCTTACATCGCAGTCCTGGGGAGGCAGCTGCTGAAGAAGGGCTCTGGCGCGGAGCCGCGTCCTGTCGGAGGCAGAGCCGGGCTGCGGCGAGCGGGGGCCGAGGCACGGCGGGGGCTTGGGAGGGGGCACGGGGGAGAGAGAGAGACAGGATTTTAGGGGGGTTGAGCTGCGTTGCTAGAATGTGTTTAATCCCAGGGCTCTGCTGTGGGAACCTCCCACGCATGGCACCCACGGAGCTGGGGGTAGAGCCAGGGTGCTGCTCACCTCGGGGGGTGCAGGGTCCGTAGGGGGTTCCAGGTACTCTTCCAGGGCACAGCCGGAGTCGCTGTCGGAGGAGGCCGGAGGGAGGCCGGTGGCGGTGCCGCAGGACGGGGGCTCATCTCGCTGGGGCCATGCAGGGCGAGGCAGGGACATGAGCTGGGGAGAGAGGGCATGGTGAGACCCTCGGTGAGGCAGGGAGGAGAGACCCATCCCCAGGACACGTGATCTGTCTCCATGTGGCAGCAGGACGAGCAGCCCCTTGTCCCAGGGAGGGACCCTGGAGCAGGTCCAGCCGGGAGGATGCTCAGTGTCACCGCGACTTCGAGACCTTTGGCTGAACCACTGCAGGAGTTCAAGGGCTTTTGGGGGCTCCTTTCTCTGCAGGAGTTACAGCAAATCCACACCCAGGGTGTGGGCACTCAGCAGGGCTGGGGCTCTGCCAAGCAGGAGGCACTGGGAGGGGATGTGATAGTGATGGGTTGAAGCCAAGTAGGGAAGACCCCAGGTGTCTGAGCTCAAGCTGGGAGAGGCTTTGGAAAACAGCCTCGGCTTTTTGCTCACCCACAGCAGGAGATTTTCCCCAACTGCCACCAGTCCTTTGCCGGGTGGTGGCTAATCCCTGGTCGAGTGGCCCAGCCCTGAGCGGGGGCAGTGGGAACAGGCTGAGGTTTAGCCCAACTCAGTGGAAAATAATTCCTTCCCCTTGGGCTGCCATTGTTCCGCCCCGGGCGGCTGTTCCTGCCCGGCTGGCCCAGCCACCACCACCACGCCTGGCCCGGGGTTACGCAGTGGAAACCCATCCCGGGCCGTCCCCTCCTCCCCGTGTGGGCGCTTTCCACCACGCGCTTCCTTCCTGCCCTGGCTTTCCAAAACAAAGGCGAGATGGTGATGTGGTGGCTCCTGGGGTTCCCTGGACGCCAGCCCAGAGCCTGAAGCCCTCAACCCGTGATTCCTGCCCCGGTGGGATGCGGGTGGGATGGAGCTGAACTGCTGCTCCGGGGGGAAGTCACGGTGCTGTGACCAAACAGGGCACCCCTGGATTCGCCCAGTGCAACGCCCACCATGGATGGATCAACTGCTCTGGAAAGTGTTTCCATGTGGAAAACAGCTCATCTCGGGCTCAGGGCTGAGGGGTGGGAACCCCAAAACTGCCTACCTGGGTCCTCCTACTCCTCTGCCACCATGAGGACCCGTTCCCTTCTCCGCACTGGGATGGGACCGGTGTATCCCCCCTGCCCGCGCTGTCAGGGACATCCTGGCCAGCACCAGCATCCCCACTGCTCCCACTAAACACCTTCAACACCCCCAGCTCAGCCCCTGCTGCCAGTGTGCCCCTTCCTATGCAGCATCTTGGGGTGCTGGGATGTGGCAGCTCTGGAGCTGGGAGTGGGTGGGCTCAGCCCGGGCAGCTCAGGTTTCCCTGCCCTGCCCCTGGGTCAATGATTAACAATAGCTGCACCTTGGCTAATCAGCGGGATAAAACAAAAGGGCTGCTTGCTTTTTCCTGGGCTTTGGGGTCTGCCAGCCCTGGGGCAGCGCAGGAGGGTGCAGGGCTGGTTGCAAGGTGCTGTTCAAAGGGATAGGGATGAAATAATCTGGCCCAACTCTGTATTTGCAGCTCAAGGAGAGACCTGGCTTTGCTGGCTTGGTGAGGGCCCACTGCTGGGCCAGGAAACAGCCTTGGCTCTACAGGAGGAGCAGGACTGTGTGTCCCTGAGGATGCTGAGTGGGGACCTCTTGGGCTCAGTGTCCGGCCCCAGCTCTGTTTTTGCCTGGTTTGGGTAAGGTGTCCCTATTTCTCTCTTCCCAGTGGGAGGCATTCCCAGGCTGTGCTTGGCTCATTAAGCCTCCAAGCTGCATTTGTCTAATCTGCTGGGGCTTTGCTGTAATTAGACCCCTCTGATGCTCCAGGGACTCAGTGGGACTGGTGGTGCCAGCGCGGCCCCAGCCCTGTGGCACAGGGCACCCTGTCCCAGGGCCACCAGCACAGAGGGGTGATGCTGGGGGAGAGTGGCTTGGGCAGGGCTCCTGGTTGCTGTGGATCCATGGGGATGTGCTGGAGAGCCCAGCCCAGCCCAGTTTGATGTGATTACGCTGGCTGGCAGCCGTCTGGGCTGTAAACAAGTCCCTGTAATTAGCCCCAGACGGTGACACAGGTACGCGCCTCCCATGCTAAAGAGCCAGGCAGCCCCAACAGGTCTGTCTCCTCTGCTCCCCATCCCTGTCCCCTCTTCCTTCCTGCCCTCCCTCGCTGCCTCCAGGCACTCCTGCTATTGCCCTTCCCTGCTGGGATACAGGGATGCTCCCAGCCTGCCCCTGCCCTCAAACCCAGGGACGGGAGAGCCTGGACCAGGCGTCAGGGGCACAGTGGCACTTTGGGGAGCTGCTTCTCCCTGCCAGCGAGTCCCCAGGAAGGGACATGTGACAGACCAGTTGGACAGGCTGGGTGCCACTGGCTGTCATTTGCCTTTGCTGTAAAAGCCTCTGGGAGCTCCTCTGGATGCAATTGCTCAGCTCCCTTTGCTCTCCGAAGGATCGGAAGCAGGCACAGCTCCCTGGGTACAAGCGGCTAAAATTCCTGGGAATATTAATCTTATTTGGCTCCCCGGGAGCAGCCCCTGTCTCCAGCTGGCTGAGGGAGCATGTGTGGGCTCCCAGCCCTCTCCTGCCAAGGTCACACATTAACTTGGAGTGCAGCCACCCCAGCCCATTCGGAATTCAGCACAGGCTCCCTGTTCCCAGCACAGCAGGGGCCGATCTGCATCTCTGCCACAGCTTTGCTTTTCTAGAACCACCTCTCCACCTCAGAAGACCCACTTCCAGACCCCCTCCAGCCAATTTTTCAGAACCACCAAACACTCCCCAGCTCCACAACCCCCAGGAAACACAACATCTCACCGTGACCAAAAAGCCCCGATCCCCTTGGAGCGCCCAGCAGCACTGGCAGCTTCCAGAGGAACAGCTCCGTGTTCACCTCACCCACGGGATAACCTGTTTTTGCTTGAGCTCCTGTCAACACAGCTGCGATGAAGGTGCGTGGAACAAAGATGCAGAGCAGTAAAGATGCATCTTCTGGGGCGAGATAAGCTGAGGTCTGGCAGGGCGAGCTGGAGCAGCAAGTCCTGCAGCACAGCCCGAGCCAGGCTGGAGACCTGGAGCCAGTCTCCCGGAGGAGCCTGCTGTGCCTCTTGGATTGGGGATGGCCCGAGGTGCAGCAATGCTTGGTGCCACTGGCTGGGCACAGCAGATCACGGGCCAGGCTCAGGGCAGCCCCCCAGATGATGGGGGGGGGTCTCAGCATCCTGCTCTGCCACACAGCACCGTGTTCTCCATGCCACCAGAGGGGACGGTGGCCGATGCTGTGGCCTGTTTGCTCACCAGATGATGTGCCAGTGCTGCAAAGGGCTTTTCTCCGTGTGTTTTCCCCCATCCCACAGGCATGGCTGGCTGTCCCAGCTGGGTGGGGAGCAGTAACCCCTTAACCCACCCTAATTCAGCCTTTGTGCATCCACAGGTAGGGACCAAGACCCCCAGCCCTGCTCTCCCTGTGGCCACCAGGATGAAGACCCACCACCTTCGTGTCCCCATGGCCACCACGATGAAGACCCACCACCCCACTTCTCCCCACGGCCATCCTATCATGGCCCAGCACATCCATGCGTGAAGGGGCCAAGCTCCATCTCCAACCCCAAAACATCCCATTCCCGCCGGATCTCGGGTAGAGGAGGGATGGTGGAGCCAACGCCCCTTCCCGGAGCCCCTCGTCGTGCCGGGCAGCCCTGCCCGCCCCCTGCCCGCGCACCTGCCTGCTCCGGGCTGGCAGGGTCCGGCACGATGGAACAGGCGTCACCTCCCGCTCTCAGGGGACGTTTTCCCGAAAACAAAGACCGCGGGGGCAACGATATCACTCCCGGCCCAAATTATTTCTCCCGGAGAAGAACAGCCAAAATCCCCCCGTTCCCCTCGCTCCCGTCCTCTTCCCCCTCGCAGCGACTCCCGACCGGGGACCCTCCCGCTGCCGCCGCCTCCCAGTCCCCTTCTCCCGCAGCTCCAGCTCCACGCGTAGCTGGGAGACCCGACCCCGGCGATCCCTTCCAGCGGTACGTACCTGCCCCTTCCCGCCGCTGCGGGCCCCGCGCTCCGCCGCTGCGGGCTCCGCCGCCCGCTCCAGCCCCGCGCCGGCCGCCGCCGTCCCGCCCTGCTCCGGAGGACGCGAGGGAATGGAGCCCGGGCTGGGAAAACTTTGCAAAGCGAAAGGAAAACATCCAAGCTCACTCAGGGAAACGCTTTTTTTTTTTTCCTATCCTCTCTCTTTTTTTTTTTCCCCTGCCTGCCCAGGCACTGGCTCCGCGGCAGCCGGGGTCCTAATTACAGGCTTTTTAGCCTAAACCTCGGGAGCCAGCCAATGGCTGGAATTCCAGGGCAGGCAGGGAGGGGAAGGGGGGGGTACATTAACCCTACAGGGGAAAGAGCTCCCGATGACATCTGGTTTGCTCCTACCTCTCATTTTCCGAGCGCCCGCGCCCTCCCCTCCCTCCGCGGCTCGGTTCACCCCAGGTTGCCGTTTGATGGCTTTTATGATCCCGCGCGGTGATTTATTTTCCTACCGAGATCAGAAAGAGTTGAAGCTTCATGAAAGAGGGGGAAGTGTCATTACACCCCAATTTAGAGGTGGAGAAACTTTGGCTGGGCTCTCACAAAGGAGTTAGCCAGCGGCAAGTCAGGATGTCCTAGTTTCCACAAGCCCTGAACACCTGACGAGGTTCCTACAAGCCATTCCAACCGGCTCCGGCTCAGCGATTCCACCCGGGCAGGAGCCAGGGCAAAATTTATCAGAGCCTGACGCGAGGCAGAGCGTCTCTGTTGTGCTTCTGTGGATTTCTCACACGCTGTAAGATTTTCCTGCCTGCTGATGTGACTTTGGGGATGAGCACAGACACCCAACCATCTGTGGGGGTCAGCCTGGATCTCTGCCACCCACGTGTCTCAGGAGCTGTGGCTTGTTTTGGGGCTCCGTTGGGAGCCCTGAGAGGTGCAGGAGGCTCGTGTAGACTTTGGGATTAGGGTCAGGACTGTGGCCTAAATCCACAGGGATAGTAATTTGTCAGAGGACGTGGCCAGGCTGGGCGAGGCCGTGCAGGGCGGTGTTGGTGCACAGGTTATTGGTGCTTTATAGAGGCTGTGGTTGCCCCATCCCTGGGAATGTTCAGGGCCAGGTTGGACGGGGCTTGAAGCAACCTGGGCTAGTGGAATGTGTCTAGTGTGGAACAGGATCTTTAAGGTCCCTCCAACCCAAACCATTCGAGGATTCTCTGCAACCATTCGAGGATTCTCTGCCAAATCACCTGGGCAGGGGCAGAAGGAGGAGGAAAAGAC